CAAACGTGAAATTAAAAATCAATGCCTTCGTAACATTCTTAAAGATACATTTTTCGAAATTTAAAATATATTGAACATACGTATACCTTAACCATGGTTTCATGAGTATTGGAGTGACGAAACGTCCACAACTGTTCTTTATTTATTCCCTATTCCGTTATTTCTATGTTATTTGTTTTAGTTATTTCCTCAAATGTCTTTAAAAACAAATTGCTGTGGATAAAAAGAAATGAACAGGTATTTTATCAAAGAAACCCTTTGGAAATATATATAAAACATAAAAGCCTGTCCCGATGACTACCTGCTCATCAACTGGCATTCTTATTTCTTAATAATACAACAGCTTTCATAGGTAGTTGTCCCTGTCGAAGGCTAGTGTGTTTTCGACTATATGTATATATGTTTTTTCATAATATAGTTTAGGTCCATTGTGTAGAGAGCAATGACCTAAAAGATACAGGACACAACAGCTAGAGTACAAAAAAACAGCGGCATATCTCCTGGCGAGATTTGAACCAACCCACACATGTGTATTCAGCATATTGGAAAATAGAACTTTGAGCATTTGTACTGTTAATCTTATTTTACCATGGGCATTAGACGGTTTGTATATTAGCTTTACTCATTAGCGGTATATATTAGCGTTATACATGTTTTACAACGCGTACAATAAAATTCAATATTTGAAACGTCTGTAAAATTAATAAAATCAAAACGTATTAACGTATTCCATGTCAAATTGGGATTCTTATAAGAGGATACTAAGTTTGGGAAATACTCTGTTGTACATAAACTAGTATACTTCAAATTATTCAACTTGTTTAGGAACAGGTTTAATATGAGAGGTAAAACAATAAAGAAATATTGTACTCAATTGTCATTTGCAAAAAGTATCTTCTAGGTTTCAAGAACGCATCGCTTATATTAAAGCTGCATATGCCTCCGAAATATTTCAAGAAAATCAAATTTGAGAAAAATTTGATAAATTTTAAGAAAATTAAATGTTTAAAAGATTCAAGTAATGATTAACATGATATAAGCGATTAAGGGCTGATTTTGTGGTATTTTTCGCCATATTTATACTGCGTTACTAACGCAGTAAGGGCTAATTTTGCTTATTTTGACCTCTTTTTTTGGTAATGTATGTGGATTGCAAGAGCTGTTTGCAATGTTTAAATCATTTTCATCGTCCACTTTACAAGATTATACTTTTAAATACATTTTTAAAAAAATATTGAAAATTAGCTTGAATCTGGAGGAATACTGCTTTTATTATCCAAATACATTTGCCCTTTTTTTACAGTTGAACGCAACGTATGCCATCTTCTGTAATGGTTATGCCAATTCATTTCCAATTTATTAATTTCATATTTGTCATGTTTTGCAATTCACTAGGTTAATCAGAACATGCGTTCGAAAGTTTTACAGTGAAATGCAAAACTGGTAAATCTTAAATTATCGTTTTTCAATATATGCTGGTTATCCAATTAGGGTATTTAGTGTTGCTTATGACTTCTTAAAAAATATAACCCTGTTTGTTCGCTGCCACAGTTTACCTTCGATTTTCGCCATGAGTGAGCTTTTTGACAACATACCAATGGTAGAAGTGACACAGATAGTGTAGCAACGGGGAAATACTGTACCATTTACAAGGCAGAGTATGAAGCCATCATGGCAGCTCTGAAAGTTATTGGAGAGTCTCCAGTGGGCTGCCCGCAGATTACCATATTAACGGATGCTCTGTCGGTGCTTCATTCCTTAGAACACCACCAGCTGCCTGAACTATAAGAAGTGCTATCTCGCATGTCACAAACCCGACAAAAAGCACTCCAGTGGATCAGCACACATTGCGGCATCCCTGGAAATGAAAAGGCTGATGAAATGGCAAAGCTAGGAGCGGAAGGGGATCAACCCATGAACCATATCTGCTACAAGGAGAAGACCATTACAATCAAAGCAGCAATAAAGTGCCAGTCAAACAAGGATGAGTACCATTACCTGGACATGAAGGAGCAAGTAACTATCTTTAGGATCCGCACAGGTCATATCAGGCTGAACGCACATATGTACAAACTAAAACTAGCTGCCTCTCCCAAGTGCTCCTGTGGACGTAAAAGCCAAACAGCTGAACATCTACTACAGCAATGTCCTCTCCTGGAACAACAGAGAAGAGCGGTGTGGCCAGTGGAGACCGGGATACAAACAAAACTTTACGGCGCAATGGAGGAATTGCAAAAGACGGCAACATTCATCGTTGTGGCTGGCCTGATATTGTAGCAGTGAACGAGAAGAAGAAAAAGAAAAAGAAGAAGAAAAAGAAGAAGAAAAAGACAACAACACAATAACAGTTTTTCTTTAAGTTTATGAGTCAATAATGAAATTGTGTAGAATTGTATTTAATTAATGGTAATGTTTATTTTTTTATAGTCTAATTCCTGCAAATATCTTTAAAATTTTCGAAAAAGTTTATTCGACCTCTTGGTATGCGCATTGGTGAAGCTACTTTATGGCAGCAGCAGTGCTGTTGTTGTCGCACGTGTACCTCGTGTCAAAGTTTTACAAATTCTACGATGAACAGTTACCTGCTTGCAAAATAGCTTTATCTTGTACCTGATAAAGTGACATAAAAGGTGTTTTTATGACAATACAGGTAGGCTTGTGATCGTAATAATGGTAAAAACAAAACTTCTAGATTCCCTGGTTGGCATCCAGTATTTTGATCTTTATCATCTCTGAATATGGAGGATATAGACTAGAATATACTAATATCAAATATGATAAACAAGATCATCAAGGAAAGGCGGCGTTCAATGAACGCAGCCCCCACCCGACCCAGTTACAAGAGCCAGTACCAAGGAGCCCAGGAAGACCTCAAACAAAAACAGGGGAGGGCATAAGCAGAGTAAAGGCAGGCAAACCACTACCTGAGGTTAAATAATAAGAAACTGATAAGGAACTAAAAGAAAACAAATAAATGATTGAATATTACGCCCATAAAGTTAAAAGGCACAGGGTAAGGGAACCTGAGACCCAGGGATGGGGGGGGGGGGAGATAAATAGAATGAATAAAAACTTGGGGCAAAGGGGAAGATACTTACCGTAGACGAGAAAACAACAAGGGACACAAAAGTGTCACCAAGACAGTATAAAACAACATAGACAAACATCTAAGGAACACAGAGGGCGCCGCCTTGGAACGGTCAGCAGCATACATACTGCTGGGGAGTTTAAACCGGTTAATGGTGCACCAAACTTCACTCTTAGCCCCACCATGTTCCTATAAACGATACAGTGTAAATAAAATGAATCCCCGCCAAGTGAAATTCTAACAGTTGTCATGGTTACAAAAGGTGAAATAAGTAAAACATCGAAATGCTTATGTAGAAACATACAAAAGACAAGAGCGATCAGTAATCACATTTGTCGCGCCATGCTGGCCAATTTTATGTTGGGAAAAGTTTTGTGACAGACAGATAGACAGACGGACAGTACACAACTAGACTTGGTACTGATCATTCCTGTAAAGTTTGGATAAAATTGCACCAGTAGTTTATGAGGAGTGTCCGGACAAACCTTTGTGTATCTGGCAAAACACAGGAAAACAAGGGGACATAATTCTGGAAATAGTCTTGTTAGAGTATTTAGGGGACTAAAAACACCTTTTTATCAAAGGGCCATAACTTGGCCAAAAATCATTCAACCGGAAAACCCGCGCAATATGCTCAAGGACTTGACCTACAAATCAATCCTGTAAAGTTTCATTGAAATTGCATTAGTGGTATAAGAGAAGTAGTCCGGACAAACTTTAAAAATAAAAATTATTAAAGGGCCATCACTCTGACAAAAATCATTGAACCGTAAAATACTGACAATATGCACAACTAGACTTGGTACTGATCATTCCTGTAAAGTTTGGATGAAATTGCACGAGTAGTTTTTGAGGAGTAGTCCAGACAAGCGTTTGTGTATCTGGCAATACACAGAAAAAAACACCTTTTTATCAAAGGGCCATAACTCGGCCAAAAATCATTCAACCGGAAAACCTGTGTAATTTGCGCAAGGACTTGAGTTACAGATTAATCCTGTAAAGTTTCATTGAAATTGCATTAGTGGTATCAGAGAAGTAGTTCGGACAATCTTTAATAAAAATATTAAAGGGCCATTACTGTGACAAAATTATTGAACCGAAAATTGCTGACAATATGCACAACTAGACTTGGTACTGATCATTCCTCCCTATATGTCGCCACTACTCCGTAGAGACGACACAAAAACCCAAAGACCATAACAAAAGTACTCAATGTCTTAAAGGAAGACAGAGCAACAAGAAGATCATCTACAATGGCCCGACGAAGCAAGACAGAAGACGAACATTAAGGCAATTTAGTCCCAGAGGGCTTTAAGAACTGTCCATCATAGAGTCTCCCACTTGGTCCGTCAGATGTTCTCAAGTCATAAGAAAACTTCCATTTATTGTAAACCACGTATGTAGGTATCATGTGGGATGGGGCGGAGCGATATCACACTATAATACTTTATCATGCTACTGTCTGCTTAAAACTTTTAAGCTTAAATCTTTTGAGCAAAGTACAAATATGTTAAAAATTTTAAGCAAAACACAAATATGTTAAGAAAAAATAAAACAAACATTATTTTGATTTAAAGACAATCATACCGGATTTACATATCATGATGGTTAAACTTTACGTGTTTGGAGTTCAATAATTTGTAGCCTTTTGAAATAAATCTTCTGTTATTGCGGAAAAAAGCAGTATAAGTCAAATGGTGATGGAAAGTTTTTGAAACAAAAGTCTAGCTTTAAAAGATTTTTGATTATAAAATCAGTGTTCTGTTTTTCCTGTACGACAAAATCATTTAGCGTATTAATTTAGTAGTATTTCTATGATGACGTATGTTAAATTATTAGCACATAGCCACATGGAGACTATATAAGTTGAAGACGAGAAAGAATATCAATCTTTTCCTGCAGCTTTGCGACCATGAGCTCACTGGCATCGTACTATAAATCTTTAAAAATGAAACGCACGTTTAATAAAAAGGTTGTACAATGTACAATCGTTGGAGACTGCTCTGTTGGGAAAACCTCTTTAGTGAAAAAATTCCTTAGAGCAGAAGAAAATATAGAAGACGTCATCCCAACAGTATTTGATAACTTTTCTGGTAAGTTAAAAAATTATTTAAAGTATGATTTGGAATTAATTATGCGTCGGTTTATACATCAAACAGTTTTGACGTTAATATTGTTGAAATTTTAAGTTGAATGATTTCACTTACTTAATTTTCATTTTTTAACTTTACAGGTGAAGTGACTTTAGAAGAAGGTGAATCTACTATCAGTATCTTTGACACAACAGGAGATCATGATTTTGAAGGTTTGCGCCAACTACCTTATGTCCTCAGTAATGTCATCGTCGTCTGTTTCTCTGTTATCGACCGTGAGTCTTATAACAGCGTCTCGGATTTCTGGCTTCCAGAAATCAAGAAATATACCAAGAAAGGCACCGCAGTGGTGCTTGTTGCAACCCACTGTGATTTAAGGAACCGCAATCTAACAGCCGTGGAAAACAACGAAGGGGTGTCTCTGGCGAAAAAAATCGGTGCTTATAGTTTTATTGAGACCTCCACTAAAGACGTCGAAAACATATCGAAATTATTTGAAATTGTTGTGACAAAAGTCACAAAAAAGAGAAAGAATATTTTTTCAAAACTGTTCAGAAGATGAATACTGTTGGACTGCTTCATCTATGTTAAAGCTGATTAAACCCAAAATCAATGAAAAGTTACTAACGTTTGATAGAGCAAACACACGATACGCGCACTGGACTTTTCTAACCAATCGTTGGATGAGTAAAGCGCCTTGACTTGGTCACATCTTGTACAAAAGAGCCTTTAACTTAAATAACATTACCGCAACTGTGTACCTTTGTCGCAGTCTTGATTATTATTTTAAAGAAATTAATAATCACTAAATAAACACAACGCTACAGGACATGTAAGGGAATCTTATCAATTCTTGATCTTGTTAAAGCGGTATCATCCCGTCACACGTCGTGGTCAGCGATTCGATGCTTAATTAATGCAAATGAAGGATGAACAAACGCCAGTAAGAGGTTGGTGATATAAGCAATCTATGTAATATACACAGATGACACTTTCAGAGAACATTTCAGATATATTTGTTCCTAATTTACATGGAATGTTTCTTTACGAAAGGTATAATATCATATTACATTGTATATTATTATATATTTATTGCTTTTATTGATATATCTATTGAGAATAAAATGTGAAATAAAATTTATAAAAAGTCTTCGTGTCATTATTGATGATTTATAGAATAAAACATCTTGTGGTCGCAAGATATATTGAAGCGTCTTGTTGGACAGAAACTTGGTTTTTATCAGTTAGTTAGTAGTTCGCATCTAATGGTTATTAAAATACACAAGACAAATCTTGTATGATACGTATGTAACTACCCAAGAAATGCTAAAACGGCACCGGTTTGAATGTCGAAATAAAGAATCAAATTGTATGAATTAGATTTTTGTAAAAATTAAAGTTTTCTGCAAATTAAATAAAGTACTTTGAAATAGGACCGATTTGCGCTTTAAGACTTTGTATAATAAAATATTTAAGTAAGAAATATCTTTTAGTCAAAATTCACACAACGACCCCCCCCCCACGTTAATATGACCTTCTTTTTGAAAGCATCATTTGGCATGGATCCAGGATTTTTTTACCAGATGGGGTTGTTTTTCGACATGGAGTAACGTATATTACAAAGGATGTTGACATAATACTGGCTTTCCAGAGAGGATTATAAGTAACAATTTTTTGCGGATTTTCACTAGATTATACGTGATTTTCGACATAACTTAAGCTGATCTTACATCGTAGAAAGATTCAACATACTAGCTGGCCAAGCTCGGTGGTCATGACCACCACTTCTCCCTTGGAGCCGCGCATGGTTGTGAGATTTGGTCATCAAAAGTAAAATACTGCCATACACGTACACGCCCGTGTTATGAATTTTTTATGCTAGTGTTCATATTTGTTAAGATATTACAAAACTTAGAATGGCATGAAATTTTCCAATCATCTTGAAATGATCATAAAATAAATATTTTTACATCATTATCATTACATTTTTAGATTTAATCCACATTAAATTCTGAAAGCACTTTATACAATATGCATTTTTTTGTTAGAACATGTGTGAATATATAATAATATATATTTTTTGTTTTCATTCCGTACATAACCGCATAAGATGACAAAATTTAGACACCGTCCATGAGGAGACAGATTTTAAAATGTCACAAATCGATCCATTGAAACGAACTTGATATTTACCGGTACCTCTCATTCTAAATGATTTGAAAAGTAATACAATGAAACAGGTGGCTATCCGATTTGTACGAGGGGGCGTTATCCACCCCCCCCCGACCCCACACACCCCAGTATAAATCAGACTGTCCAGTGTATCATCAGCAGAAATAAAAACACATTCCCTGTCGTGACAATATAACACCCCAGAAAAAGTAACCAATGTTCGACCATTTGAATTTTCTATTTTTATCTCTTTCCCTGTAAACCCCAGAAAAAGAGCCAATCAACGAGTCCTAATATGCCCTAGACAGACAGTGAGTTTGGGTAACTTAAACATGCATTCTAGTATGACAGTTCATAACATTGTCCAATGCTGTAATTGTTTAGTGAGTAATAAGTTACAAACCGGAAGGAATTTGTCTCAATGTTCTTGGATTTTGTACCAGTAATGAGTTACTTGCCGGCAAGTTACTTCAAACCTCATTCATATTCATCTAATATTTTTTTTAGTCTCTCTTAACTCATGGTCATCTATAAACAATTTTAATTTCGATATGAAATATCCATGGAATGAAACTCCAGAATTAAGAAAAGTGTTAACTAGAAAAAAAATGAAAATCCAGAATTAACAAATGTTTATTAGAAAAAAAAATGAAAATCCAGAATTAACAAGTGTTAACTAGAAAACGAATGCAAAACCAGAATTAACAAGTGTTAAATGAAAATCCAGAACTAACCAAAGTGTTCACTACGAGAAGAACAAAATGAATATCCAGAATTAACGAAAGAGTTAACTAGAAAAAAATGAAAATCCAGAATTAACAAAAATTGTTAACTAGAAAAAAATGAAAATCTAGAATTAACAAAGTGTTAACTAGAAAACACAACCAACACTTCAAATACCTCGTTATTGCAATAAGACATTGGCATGGTTGTGCGTTTTATGATTTCTCACCAGTGAACGTTTTTCTTTGTTTATTTAACGGACGTAGTTAATTAAAGCTGTACAAGCGAATGCTGACGGACGGACTTTGTATTTGCTATTAATTTCGAGACATGGGTTTGGACAAACAAATTACATTTATAACTGTTACATGCAAGTTTTACGTTTACTTTCTAGCTCATTTCAGTTTCCATTAAAATTGACTGCATTTCGTAAGCACAAAATTTTTTACCGTTTATTATGATTATGTAAATATCAGGAAATTTGATAGCAACATGCTTGTTTTTGTTCACCTGCGCGCGCACAAACACGCGCACAGTAATACGTATGAAAACTGACTATCATTATTTGAATGACTACCATTATTTGAAAGACTACCATGAGTTGACTTACTATAATGAGTTGAGTGACAACTGACTACCTTGATCAGAATAACAATGGGCTACTATAATTTGAATTATCTGCCACTTACTGCTATGGCTTTGATAACCTCGGATTATTTCATTGTGACAAAGTTACCTGTTGTTCAAGTTGTTAGAAATTCTAACCCAGGTTGAAATAAGACCACTGCATGCAGTCTTAACGCTCTTTGTTTAGGGTAAAAGCTACTGTATCAATAATCAATTTTGACAAAAATTCCAAGTTAAAAAGGGACATAACTCTAAAAAAATATACTTTCAGAATAATGCCTCTATGCAAGTGTTCCAAGTTTCATGTTGATAAAGGGCTACATTTAATTTTCATGGCTACGACAATAACACAGTGATCATAATAGCTCGCGTTTTTCTTCAAAACATTCAAGCTTAAAATGCAGGTTTTAAAAAGGAATATGTTGTTTTCCTCCACGTATAAAGCTGTAAGGAGTCACAAAAGTATTTTTGACTTACAGTCCAATCAAAATTAATATATATTTATACATACATGTAATTATAATCAAAGGACCCTGATGAAGGCTATTGAACAGCCATATAGTAAGTCATTAGAAAATGTGCTGAAACTTGACCATTTTGTTTCATTAGTTTTACATCTCTAAATAATAAACTGAAAATTGTTCTGATGTCATTTATTTTATTTATAAATTCACTCAAGTTCATTTGACAAGAAAGTTCCAATAAAGAATATTCTATTCCTATAGCTACCCCCTGACATTTGTAATGATTTAGCTAAAACAAAAAAAAATTTACAAGTCTAAAAATTGAACTTCTTATAAATCACTTGGTGATGTCATAAGTTTGATAAGTAGAGACACCATGTGGACATTCAGGCTGTTGCCTAGCAACATATATTTCTGTCTGTTTGTTAATCGATCTGGGAAACCTGAAAAAAGGAGAAAGAACCTTTAAGTATGATCAAAACCTTCATAATCAAGAACATATAATGAAATTAAATCAAGTGACTACTATGGCAAGGCAAATAGGTTAACCAAGTCTCTAACTCAGGTCAACAAGAGCCCGGTTTGAGCCGGGTGATGCTCCCCGAATAGGTTTTGGACACAGGAAAGTACACCTCTTGTAGTTTCAGAGTTATGTCCGTGGAAAAAGTTCAAAGTGCAATAATTCCAAAATTAGGCAAGGCTGTTCCAGTTTTTTGCACTGCACTTCTAATCAATGTGATCTATCAACTTACAAAGTTTCTTGATGATATCTCTTATGATTTTGAGTTATGTCCTGGACAATTCAAAAAGTAAAAATAAACAAAGGGCAATAACTCCAGAATTAGGCAAGGTAGAGTTTGGTTCTTGTGCACTGCACATCTACCCATTGAGATTTATCTACCTACAAAGTTTCATGTTGATATCTCTTATAGTTTTACAGCTATGTCCTGGACAAGATTTTTCTAAAAGGGGAGATTATTCAAAAATAAGGCTTAACAGAGTCATGGTTCTTTTGCACTGCACATCTATCCATTGAGATCTATTCACCTACAAAGTTTCATGTTGATATCTCTTATAGTTTTAGAGTTATGCCCCAGACAAGATTTTTCTACAAGGGAGATAATTCAAAATCTGGGCAAAATAGAGTTATGGTTCTTTGACACTGCACTCCCCCTCGATGCCCTCTACCACTGTATGAAGTTTCAACAAATTATCTCCAAGAGTTTTCTAGTTATGTTCCGGACAAAGTTCAAAGTATTAAAATAAACAAAGGGCAATAACTCCAAATTAGGATAAAAGAGTTATTGTCTTTATGCACTGCACATCTACGCATTGAGATCTATTCACCTACAAAAATTCATGTTGATATCTCTTATAGTTTTAGAATTATGCCCCGGACAAGATTTTTCTATAAAGGGGAGATAATTCAAAAACTGGGCAAAGTAGAGTTATGGTTTCTTTGACACTGCACTCCCCCTCAATGCCCTCTTCCACTGTATGAAGTTTACACAAATTATCTCCAAGGGTTTTTAAGTTATGTTCTGGACAAAGTTCAAAGTGTTAAAATTAACAAAGGGCAATAACTCCAAAATTAGAAAAAAAGAGTTATGGTTCTTGTGCACTGCACATTTACCAATTGAGGTCTGTTTACCTACAACGTTTCATGTTGCTATCTGTTATAGTTTTAGAGTTATGTCTCGGACAAGATTTTTCTAAATGGGGTGATAATTTAAAAACCGGGCAAAATAGAGTTATGGTTCTTTGACACTGCACTCCCCCTCGATGCCCTCTACCACTGTATGAAGTTTCAACAAATTATCTCCAAGGGTTTTCAAGTTATGCTCCGGACAAGACAACGGACGGACAGACGGACAGACGGACGGACGGACAGACGGACGGACGGACAGACGGACAGATGGACAAGGCGCCGACTATATGCTCCCCCGAAATTTTTCGGGGAGCATAAAAATATATCCCAGAACCTAGCTTTGGCATGATAAAAAGTATTTTTCCTACTTATTTCCTTGTTTTCATCTGAAATAAAACTGTTTATGTAAAACAATGGAAAAATATTATTTGTCATAACACTGTGAACTTCCATTGTTCAAACTAAATTATAGTCATGATATGTTTTATGTACTTTACATTTATTCATTTTTAAAAAATATTATGTACAATTTATAAAAAAATATATGCGTCTTGTTATAGGATATGATAATGTGTTGTATTAAAAGTATCACTGCCATGTAAAGTACATGGTTATCCATGTAAAGTACATGGTTATATAATACAGCATTGAGTTTCTATTTATAAAGGTTACATGCTTTACAATGAAGTCATTGATTTTTACAAGGGATGATCAAAATTCTTTTGTATACAAAGAAACTATGCAGTTAGTTTGTAAAATAAAAAGTAACTGGTTCTATATGAAGTAAGGTCCTGTACGTGACAGCTGTAATACTCAGAGAATCTTCCAAAGTCTGTTAAGATTGAATAAGAACTATCATAGTTAAATACTAGAATTCCATTTCTAACCAACAATTACATTGCATGTATGATAAGTCAAATATGATTTTCAGTTCTATAACTCTGTCAAATATTATAACTTCTCTGAACCAAAACTGGCTACATCACAAATGTCTGTTCTTGTTAATATAAAACTGAAATTTATAAATTTATTCTCAAGATTTTAATCCATTGTGCATTCTACATGACATTATGAAGACATTTTATTCATTTTGTATTCTCCATGAAGATCTTTATCCAATGTGTATTCTCCATGATGTCATGAAGTTCTTTGTCCATTGTGTATTCTACATGCAGTTCTTCATCCATTGTGTATTCTACATTAAGTCCTTTATCCATTGTGTATTCTACATGTAGTTCTTCATCCATTGTGAATTCTACATGAAGTTCTTCATCAATTTTGTATTCTACATGAAATCCTTCTACCATTTTGTATTCTTCATGAAATCTTCATCCATTGTGTATATTACATGAAGTTCTTTATCCAATGTGTACTCTCCATGATTACATAAAGTTCTTTAGTTTTTGATCCATTGTGAATTATCCATGAAGATTTTTATCTGTTTATCTATTTATTCTCCAGGGTGTCATTTGTTCTTTGTCCATCGTGTATTCTACATTAAGTTCTTCATCCATTGTGTATTCTACATGAAGTTCTTTACCCATTGTGTATTCTACATGGAGTTCTTAATCCATTGTGTATTCTACATGGAGTTCTTCATCCATTGTGTATTCTACATTAAGTTCTTCATCCATTGTGTATTCTACATTAAGTTCTTCATCCATTGTGTATTCTACATTAAGTTCTTCATCCATTGTGTATTCTAATTTCTACATGAAGTTTTTTTTTATACATTGAGTATTCTACATGAAGATCTTTATCCACTATGTATTCTCCAAGATGTCATGAAGTTCTTTGTCCATTGTGTTATCTACATTGAGTTCATCATCCATTGTGTATTCTGTATGAAGATCTTTATCCACTATGTATTCTCCAAGATGACATGAAGTTCTTTGTCCATTGTGTAATCTACATTGAGTTCATCATCCATTGTGTATTCTATATGAAGATCTTTATTCATTGTGTATTCTACTTGAAGCTTTTCATCCATTTTGTACCCTACATAAAGTTTTTCATCCATTGTGTATTTTACAAGCAGTTCTTCATCCATTGTGTACTTTATATGAAGTTTTTCATCCATGTTATGTATTTTACATGAAGTCATGAAGATTTTCATCCATTATGTATTTTCCATGTCATCATAAAGAACTGTATCCAATGTGCACTCTACATGAATATCTCTTTTTCCATTGTGTATTTTAATCACATCATGAAGATATTTTTCCATTGTGTATTACGCATAAAGATCTTATTGTATATTCAATAGAAAGTCAAGAAGATCTTTATTCACTGTACAATCTTCTTTGCTATACATGTATATTTCAATGTTTATAAGAGGAAAAATAATTCTATAACTCACTTGATTTTTAACAGTATCACTTATATCTCACCTTAATATTTCAATACTGAATTCAGTATCTCATTTAAATGCATATGATGTACACATGTAAATGTATCAACTGTAAATAACAAGATTATCTTACCAAACCACGCTGGAAAACATAATATATTCCCTATTTCCCTTGGTGTGAAATATCTTAGTTTGAGATTTCTCAACACTTGGTATTCTGTCTCCTTCCACTGGTCTTTATTTTGCTCCAAGATTGTTCTCTCTTTTAAGGCTGATGCTTTGTGTATATCCTGAAGAAACAAAAAATTGAATTACGCAAAAAAAAATGTTATGTGAATTTTTTTTTTTTTTTTTGGAAACTTGAACCTTGAGTTAAGGTCATTTAGAGGTCAAGGTCATATATCTGTATGTCAAAATGAAGCGGTTATTCCAAAAAGTGATTTATTGATTGAAGATATGTAAGCAACAGTAAAAGCTGTCCACATATGAGGTACCAAGACAAAAATAATTGTCCACTGATGGGGAGCCAAGACAAAAAATAATTAGCACTAAAATGATATCTGTATTGACTTGATATATTACAAAGTGTTTCTATATAATGGAATCATCTAATCACTTTATTTTGCCAGAATGACTGTCTTTAATTGCTAGTACTTTCACTGGCTCGCCTTATCTCTGGTCTAATGACAAATACTTGAGCTATGTTGCCTCACTCCAAATAGAATCTAATGTTGCAAGTTTTAGAGCTTAGAGAGGCTTTATACTCATAATGCAAATTGCATATCATTTCAAATGAATTGCCATATGCAAGTATTGGTTGAAAAACAAAACAAAACAAACAAACTTGTGCATGGTTCATTTGTAAGTGAAACCAACTTCCTAGCAAGCTTCCTCACACAAAAAAGTCGAAAGTCCCTGGAAAGATTCAAACCCAAAGTGGTGAGGGGCATGAGGTTCAAAACCAGCATCCTTAGCCACTTAACCAAGGGAGCTGTGTTTTTATAATAATGAACAAGAACCCTGAAAAGGCTAATTACAATATTGACCCTGATACATGTAACTTTTTGAAATATTCTCTTAAAAAGATTTACAAAAAAAGTAGTTTTAATGACAGTTTTGACTTGGCTGTATATAATATATTTTATATTAATTAATTATTAATGCTTTAATTACCTGTGTATCTGAAGTCATCATAATTAAGGAGCCTGCCCCATCAATATAGTGTCCATACCTGAATAAAAGAATTAATGAGCCGCGTCATGACAAAACCAACATAATGGGTTTGCCACCAGCATGGATCCAGACCAGCCTCCACATCCGCACAGTCTGATCAGGATCCATGATGTTCACTATCAGTTTCTCATCTTGTAATAGGGTTTGTAAGCGAACAGCTTGGACCCTGATCAGGCTCACGGATGCGCAGGCTGGTCTGGATCCATGCTGGTCGCAAACACACTATGTTGGTTTTGCCATGACGCGGCTCATTTTAACGCGGCTCATTTTAACCTGAGTTTAAATTATAGAGCTGTCGTCACTAAGTGCTTGATAGTGTAACAATAGACTTGTAGGAATTATAAAGTTTCAAAGAGCTGACAGAAACAGTAAAATTTTATACATAGAGGATATTCAAGTCTTTCTTTCTATAAAGACAGCATTATTTTTATTAAGAGGTATGAAAATAAACATTTCATGAGTAGCCACAAGAAATATGATAATTTTCATACCACAAGATGAAAATAAATCCTGTATTTATAGAAAAACCTTGAATTTTCTGTTTATCATATACTAGTACATTTTTCTTCTCTTTTTTTTGACATTTCAATTTGAAAGGCTTCCCCTTTAAATAAAGTATTGGCTGAATTTAGAAGAAAGAAGTCTGGCAAGACACCAGTGAAAATATGGAAAATACAGTGTGTTTCACTGCAGTTAAAAATTATTTTTTTTTACAGTGAAAATACAGAAATGAAAATGCATTTCATTTCATCAGTATTTCTCAATATTTCATTTATAATTATACATATATAATACTCAAATATATAATTACATATATAATACTCAAATGTATATGTTGATCATTGACAATTAGATCATGCTGAATACATGCTAGAGTTTTGGGTCTTTCTTGGAAATCATGCATTTTAAGTATAATATTAAGAAATGTAAAGTTTCATGATGTGAAAATGTTCAATGTTTGTGGTGAGAAAGCAAGCAAAACATTATATAAGAGTTTTCTTTGTTCATGTACACAAATGAGAAATCAAGTAAAACCTGTCTACATGTCTTGATCAGTGACAACAATTATGACAGAATATGTTCAGTGGTTAATGAGACATGACACACAAAGACATGACACATGAAGAAACATGAAGTAACACGACACATGAAGTAATATGACACATGAAGTAATGTGACACATGAAGACACAAGACATGACAAATGAAGTAATGACACATGAAGTAACATGACACATGAAGTAATATGACAAATGAAGTAATATGACACATGAAGACACAAGACATGACAAATGAATTCATGACACATGAAATAACATGCAAAATATTAACCACATGTTACAGTAATATCAATGCCAAAACTGGCAGGTAGTCATGCAGACATGACAAGTAAGTTTATAGTAGAGGCACAACATAAACACTTGTTACAGTAACACCATTGCCAACACTGACACCTAGGGTAGTGACAGACTATTCCAGGTTTAAATGATAATTTAAGACTTAAGATAACCAATCAATCATACCTCTTTGTAAAACAGCATGTCTTCTGTGAACACGGGTTTACTATATCCATCGACATGAATCTTTTCAAATCTTTCTCTAAAAGTTGATATTCCTCAAACAAGTTTTGTGTAAAATATCTATCTTCTAGAAAATTATACAGGTCTAAACAAGGCACGTAATCAGCCTGGTCGTCTGTCATTAACTGACGCAAGTTTTTTCCATAATTTTGCAGACAGTCTAAATTATCAGTTGAAAAGGTTTTTGTCTCTTTTGTTTCTTGGTCCAAAGTTTTCCTATCTGTTACATGTCCTTCAGATTCACCTTTTGGTGTAATACATTTGTCAGAATCATCACTCTGAAAATTATCTTTCTTTTCTTCTTCACTTGAAATATTACTACCTAATTCTTGTTTATGACGTTTATTGATAAAATTTGTACCACAGTCTGCATTTACTCTCTTGCAAGAATTTTGACCTGTAGAACCAGTCTCAGTTTGCACAGTACTGTTTTCAGCTTTCCTTCTACATGGGCAGCAATTATTTTCAGAATCTGTTGACAGTCTCAATGATTCAGACTTTAACTTGTATGTTAGCCAATCATTTGGACAATTAGGTAGCTTATCTTTTATCTGAAAAAAGAAGCCGAAACAACAGTTCAATGGACAGACATAAAGACATAATGAAAATAGTAAAATAGACAGACATAAAGACAAAAAATACAATTGAACACTGGAGAGACTCAAAGACAAACAGTAACAGTTTAATAAGAAGAGATAAAGACAAACAACAATAGAACAACAGACAGATATAAAGAGAAACAACAACAGAACAACAGACAGGCATAAATACAAACACTAGATCAACAGACATACATAAAGACAAACAACAATAGAACAACAGACAGACATAAAGACAGAAAACAATAGAACAACAGACAGAAATAAAGACAAACAACAATAGAACAACAGACATGCATAAAGACAAACAACAATAGAACAACAGACAGACATAAAGACAAACAACAATAGATAAACAGACAGACATAAAGACAAACAATAATAGATCAAAAGACAGACATAAAGACAAACAACAATAAATCAACAGACAGACATAAAGACAAACAACAGTAGAACAACAGACATAAAGACAGACAACAATAGAACAACAGATAGACAGACAACAATAGAACAACAGACAGAAAGAAAGACAAACAACAATAGAACAACAGGCATGCATAATAAAGACAAACAACAATAGAACAACAGACAGACATAAATACAAGCAACAATTGATCAACAGACAGACATAAAGACAAACAACAATAGATCAACAGATAGACATAAAGACAAACAACAATAGAACAACAGACAGACATAAAGACAAACAGCACTAGTAAACTGGATTCACAGAAAGTCAAACATACAATAGACAGTAAAACAATGGGCAGACATAAAGACAAACAACGAAAGTTGATTTGACAGTGAATATGAATCTACATTGTGATTGGCTAATAACTACTCATGCTGTAAGAAGGTCATTTAATACATTAATGTTCCTACATATATTTAATTGCCTTCTTTTCTATCCTATCGTAATACAGTATTCAGAAACAGAAAAATTTCCTTACATTTTTTAAATTTCAATCTAGGGTTTAAAACATAGGATAGACAGAAAGATTAACAACACATAAGTATAATACACAGACAGAAAGATAAACAGCTACAGTAAAATAGTGAAGACTATGTTTAACTGTGGACAGGCTGGGAAAATAATTTTTTTTCTATTGTTTCTCTTGGTCAGTTGTTTATTATTTTATGTATATAAAAGTAAAGCAGAAAATGAAAGCAGACTTGGTAAAGGATCACCAAATGTTGGTAGAATTTACTAGTAAATCTGTTGAACAGAACATCTGATTTCTATTAAGGGTACTTTCAAATAAAGAAAATCCAGGCAAGTATAACAGCAGGGTTGTCCCTCTTTAAGTCCTATAAAACAGTTAAAAAACATTACATTCTTGTTACAGTTATGATGTGACATCAATCTAATCTAGACAAACAAGAGCTGCCAGTGGGACAGTATGGCAGACTTTTCCCCGTGCATGATTGTAACACAAGTGCCTAGATTGTGTAGAATTTAAAGTTCAAAAAGGGCCATGACTCTGTCAAAAACTATGTTTGAGTTATGGGCCTTGAACAGTAACTCCTATTATTCCCTTAAACTACTATGAGAAGTTTCAACCCATTCCCTTTAGTAGTTTTGGAGATACCAACTTGCATGCAAAAACTTAACCAAAGTGTGACGCTGGTATAATGGCTCTCTCCATTGTTTGAAAAATTTAGCTAAAAAAGGAAAAAATATACCTACTTCTTCTGTTGGCTCAAAACAAAACTGTAATGGCTTCTTCTTTGCTATAAGGAAGTACCTTAACCTTGAATTAGGTATTCCAAACTGCAACGGTGTTAACAAAAATTCCTGAAAGTGAAAGCATAAATTTTCAAATGGAAATAAACATACAACTGAATGGTTAACAAATAATATGCCAATTTTCAAATAATATTTTTCAATAAAGAAGTTGCGAATGTTGGCAAATATTATTCTTAGATTTGTGTACAAGTAAAGACTTTGTTCCCAGATCAGCAACTGTATCATTATATCAATGCAGGACATCAAATTAATGAGAAAATGTTTGCCAACACTTTATCAAAAAGTACCAAATCATAAAATGCATACATATGATCCAATGTCCATCTTAAAAATTATCACTATTCCCCCTTTTGACAATTTATTATTCTAGTCAGATATATAATAATTTCTAACAGAAACAGTAACTCAGTATATATGGGCTTTTCTAAACTAACCCCCCCCCCAGTACAAACAAACTTTTATTGTTATAACTTGATGGTGCACTGCTGTTAACAATAGAGTAGCAAAATCTGTTGTGTTTATTTTCAAAGTTATACTTGTACAATTTTGTTTGTACTTCCAGATCAGCTAGGAAACCCAAAATATTCTTTATTTCGGAGAAAGTGTATATTTATGACCTTTCACTATCACAAGACTTGGTGGTATACATTTACAAACAATGTGGTATACTTGTCCAGCTTGATTCCCTACTTTAAACACTTTAAAAATAAAATCCCGAATTTACCTGAAATTTATAGTTGCACTGAGTGAGGGTCTGTATCAGCCTCATCCTGGATTCAGAGCTTTCAAATCCTTTCACATTCTCCACAAGTATGTACGATGGGCATTTGTCTGACCTGTCAATTATATAGAGGATATTACATGAAAGTAGGTGCAATACTGAATTTATTGAATGAGTTGAAAAAAATTATATTATGCGAGCCTCTGGCGAGAAAAATATTCTTTTATTCGACAAGTTCAAAATTCAAAAAGAACCCGCACCAAATAATTTCTATTTACACATACCCAAAATTAAATTTTTAAGTTAAAATTTTTAAATTTAAGAATCATTTTCATTGACGGCCTATATGTGAGCCTAATTAAGCGGGGTTTTGTTTTTTGTTTTAAAACCAAATGAGTCACAAAATATATGCACGGCCTGCCCAACCCTTTTTCAGAGTTTATAAATTCGGTATGTGATAAAAATGAAATTTTTCCACATATCAAAAACATGATAAAATTGTAATATCAAAAGGATACTTCATCATCTAACAAAATAAGAATTTAAAAAATTTAATTATTTCCTTACATGACCTCATCATATGATATGTCTGGTTTAGTTTATACAAATTATTTAGTTAATTGGGGTTTGGAGCTAAAGTTTTGAACACCAAAGTTTCTTGCTCAAAGGAACAACGGGTTGCCTAAACAGGTTTTACCCAGGGTCACAATTGTCATGGCCACTTAGCTCAAAAGGGAGAGCATCAGATTTTCCCAGGTTGCTGGTTTGTATTTTTTGCTGTTTTTAATGCTTCAGAGGGATCACTTTTTCCAGATATTGATCCTTGGGCACTTAGGTATAATATCTTCCTGAACAACTGATATCTGATATTAAGTCTAAAGGTCATTTGTCTCTTACAGCTGATTTCAGATAAGATGTGAAATAAGTAACCATTTACTTGTGGAGAAACTAGTAATTACTGGTGAGTGAAACAGGGAAGCCCATTAAATATATCCATTGCCAAGAACTAAAATGAGTTTAAATGAACATAAAAAGCAGAAAACAAATAAATACAAACATCAAGTGATTATCGCCCTTCATGTTTAAGAAATTGAACATATCAATAATTATAATAAGTGCAGCTTATTGATCATTATATTGTGAAGGGTGGTGAGCTGTGAAGCTATATCAGTAAAAGTTTGTATGAACTCAAGAATTAGTTTGGAAAAACCCACATATGCCAAGTTCTGGATATAATCTCATACCTTTCATAAACATTACTCAGGAACTTTAGAGACAATCACTCATACATTGCCTATTTGATCTTATTTCATGCAAACCTGATTCCGGCTATAATTATTTTTACCTTTTTGCTAAGTAATGTTAAACTTTCTTCAGTTTTATTTTAAAGAACAATAAATTATGATTATTACAATGCTGGACTTTCCTGAAATTTAAATGAACAGTCTTACTTTTTAAGTAGCTCCAAAATATGTAGAAATGATCTGGTCCGTACGTCTTTTGTGTCTTGCTGTTTTCCTACACGTGTGAACGGTTGGCAGGGAGGGCTCATCAAAATCATGTCAATGCCAAGGCTATCAAACTTTTGTTTAGTAAGAGTCTGCAATTAAACAAAATAAACGTAATGTGTAATATTATCTCAGTATGTTTAAAGCAGTATGCATCTAGATAAGTAAAACAATCCTCAGAATAATAAGAATTTGTAGCAGAGTTACCAACGTCCCTGCCTAAGGTAAGTTTTACATGAAGCTCAAAATTTATACCTTGATGGATGAGAAAGATATGAACCGGACAAAACATAATACCCTCCAACAATGTTGACCTTTAATCACAAAGTGCAACTTTGACCTTAGAGGTAGGGGTCTGGGCGTTGTGCATGACACATTGTCTTATCATAATAAAAATTTATGTCAAGTTATTTCAAATTCCTTTGATAAATGGCTCAGTGATAATGGACTGGACAAAAATGTGTGACGGACAGACAGACGGATGGAGCCCATTCTATATCTACCTTTTTCTTCAAAAAAGCGGGGAACAAAGTTAGAACAAGAAATGCTCATGGCTCATCTTATATCCATTGAAAAGAATTATAAAGTCATCATTAGAGGGACCAGGTGGGGGAATGTTTACTCCAAAGCTATCATAAAACTTTAGATTCCCTTCTGCAGGTACTGCCCTCTTTAAACTGAGAGAAACAGCAAGTTTAAATTATGTTATAACTAAAACAATAATGCACACTCATAACACTTAACACTCATAACTTGGAACATAGATATTTACATAATAAACAATACAAAAATGACCATGAAGCATATATACCTCTATTGCACTAGCATTAATGTCTACATTGGGGAAATTATGTCTATATACAAGATTGGCATTTGTGTTCACATCCATAGCCATTACCACTTTAAACTCTTTACCACTTTCTGCAAACATAAAAAAGTAATTTTAAATCATTATAATACCATGCTTTACCTGTGTAAGGGCTTGTGATTCTTTGAATTTGTAAATGTTTATAAAAACAACAAAAAACCCCCAAAAAACTGAGGGTTAGTATCAAAATCAGTATCAAATTATTAAAACCATCATTTTTATTCCTTGCCACACTAAATATCTTAAACCAAATTGTCCATCGTTCATTTGGGATAAAGCCGCTGATCATCTTTTGGGTGTTATTTTCATAATAGAAACAGACTGAAATTGAATAACAAACACTGCAGACAATGTACAGACAGAACAGATGTGCCAGCTGACCTTTCGAATGGTTTTGTATTTAGTAATAAGTACTTATCTTCAGGAAGATAAGTCAGCAAAAATATATGCCACTCTTATATGGCTGTCATTGAATATTGGGATATCGATATATCATAGAAATTCAATGATCAATACAATATTGAAATACAATTTAGAATATTGATGCAATTTAAAACCCAGTTCTTCATGTTGAAGATCTCATTCAGTTTGAACTCCTGCAGGTGTTGTTCAAAGTGCAACTGTCAAGTGTTTTGTTCAAATATAAAGACCATAAATTTGTATTCATTAATATCAAAATAACGGGAAAAAAAGAAAGATTCAACTAAAGTTCAATAATTTTGGGATATTCAGGGGCCATGACTTTGTTCAAATGCTCTGACATTAACTTGCTTGAAAATTAAGGGGAAGACTAAGACTTACAGAACCTGTACTAAAACTAAAAGAGTTTATTAAATTATGTCACAATAAAAGGTATGTTAGAGCACTTTAGTATGGGCCCAGGCTTTGGTTTGCCCAGCTGGGACTACACATGTATATTTAAAAGGAAATCAAATTAAAAACAATTAAAAAATATTATATACATTTCTAAACCTATCAGAGAAATTTTTTGTATCTGACATAGTTTCACTGTCATATTTTGCTGGGCGCCGTGATAATTTTTCAATGAAACTAAATGATAATAGGCGGGGTATTCCGATAACGTAACAATCGCAACTATTAAGCTCAATATTAGCGAGCTCAAAGAGCTGGCCCGAAGGGCCTGCTCACAAAGCGAGCTTTACGGTAACGCGAGTACCTGCTAGATAGTGATGGTTTTGAAAACTTTCGTCCGAAGTACTGAATTGACACATCGCAACTTTTCGAATTACAAGATAACGATAAAAACCGAGGTATTCTGATTGAAAACAGAAGCGTAGACTGGTGTCCTGCGCACTTATATGGGAACCATAATAGGACAGGGAACCAGAATAAACGGAAGCAGTGTATAAAATACCGAATGACAATTTTAAAACTGAAAATGTAAAATAAAAATTAACGATTATTTTATACTATTTCACGGTAAAAGAAAATCATGCTCTCTTCAAGGCGTTGCCTTTTTCATATTAATTGTTAAGGTGTTTCGAGTAAAAATGGAAGGTCTGCATGAATTAACACTTTTAAAACAGAAAATGTAAAGTAAACAATTATTTTAACCGACATCCTGTTTATACGGGGAAGTCAAAGACCGGGCCCGCGAAGCGGGTCCGGGCTTTGGCTTGCCCGGCTATAGACTACACGTGTATATTTAAAAGAAAATCAAATAAAAAACAATTAAAAAATATATAGAATTCTATACCTATCAATGAAATTTTCAGTGTCAGTTCTAGTCGGGCGCCGCCATTTACAATGTAACTCAATGATAATAGGCGGGGTATTCCGATAACGGAACAAATCTCAACTTTTCGGATAAATAATAATCGTCGAGTGTTCCGAGTGAAAACGGAAGCGGTGCATGTAATACCGAATGACACCTTTAAAACGGAAAGAATGAAAGGAATTTTTTAACGACTTCCCCGTTCATAGGCTTTGCCTAATTTCATATTAGTCTTTGCCATATTTTTCATATTAAAAGTATTCTCAATCTGTTAAAATAAGCATTCTTAATAAAAGAAAGTAAACAACTTAAATGCCATTTGAAGTCAAGCTCTATGAAGTAGGCACTAAAGGGGTGAGTTGGCGAATGTGGTGAAGGGCGAATCGTCAGTGGGTCGAATCATAACCGATCAACTAGTTTACCCATTCAAAAAAGACTGTTCAAATAAATAAGTATGAAGATATATCAGAAATATTGTATATTACCACAAAGCGCAAAGTGCATACCCCCAATACCACTGTAAAGTTCTAAAACTTTAATACGTGATATGGGCGCAGCCATTTTGGTTTCAATCGGGATTGTTCGGTCATGTCCCATATGCGCCTTTGTCAAATACGTCATATTACTTTATATATTTACTGCTTCGTTCATTATTTATATCCCAAGTGGTCTAGTGGTTAGGATTCCGCGCTCTCACCGCGGCGGCCGGGGTTCGATTCCCCGCTTGGGAAGATTTTTTTTTATTTCATGTTGCTCTACAAATAATCGCATTTATAAATTAGAAATAGTTTCATACCAAATTTTACTGCAATAATGATAACTTTAATACAATTGAATTTTGATGAGGTCTACATATATTTCGATAATATGTTGTTACCAGGGTCATTCAAATTTGAAAAACCCTGTTCTTCTTTGATTGTTGAAATGTACTTATGTATATTTACAATAAATTGGTCGACGCTGGGACATGATATATAATTAATGTATATAATATTATGTTCCAGGTCGATCTAAGTGTCGATTCATATCACTGGCATGTTAATTAATATTTAATATGAAATTAGGCAAAGCCTATGAACGGGGAAGTTGTTAAAAATTCCTTTCATTCTTTCCGTTTTAAAAGTGTCATTCGGTATTATATGCACCGCTTCCGTTTTCACTCGGAACACTCGACCATTATCATTTATCCGAAAAGTTGAGATTTGTTCCGTTATCGGAATACCCCGCCTATTATCATTGCGTTACATTGTAAATGGCGGCGCCCGACTAGAACTGACACTGAAAATTTCATTGATAGGTATAGAATTCTATATATTTTTTAATTGTTTTTTTATTTCATTTCCTTTAAATATACACATGTAGTCTATAGCCGGGCAAGCCAAAGCCCGAACCCGCTTCGCGGGCCCGGTCTTTGACTTCCCCGTATTACAATTAATTAATGGAAATCAAAATTCCCAAAGAACGCAAATAAATAAATAAATAAATAAATAACAATTTTGAAGGCTCGGTTTGATATAGAGCCTGTTCATGGACGGTGCCAACAAGCAATGCTTCGAAATACTCGTATTAAAGCAGGTGTCTACGAATTTTCCGGACGACCCTCGTAAATTACGTTAAAGGAGCCTTAAATTCAATTGTCTATGTTATTCAACATATTTTATTCAATCAGACAGGGTCTTTCAAAAGACCCTGATTTAGGACATGAAAAAAAAAGAACATCAAATCTTGTTACTCTTCTCAGGGACAGGTTTAAATGGTAACCACCACCAGTGGACCACTAGACTATATATGGGGCTAGACTTGACCAAGTATTATTGTCCGCGAGAAGAATGAGTTAGAGTTTGTTCTAGATGGGGGATATTAATTATAATTAAGGTCTTTGGTGGTAAGTCGGTTATTGTCCCTTGCAATTGCTTTGTCTCTAATTTTGTAGAACAAGGTGAGGTATTTTTTTAAATCTACATTGTTGTAGCGATTTTCATTTCAAAATATTGAGCGTTTTATTGACACTGCTTGTATATTTGCTGTCTGACATGAAGTTATGGGCTGCTGACCTTTGAACTTTTCAACAATATCTGAAAAAGATTTTCTTTTATTGCCAAGAATGCCAGAAATTAGCATAATGTTCGACGGACATAGGTGTTTTGACCTGTTTATTGTCAATTTTGACATTTCTTTGAATTAACTTGATGCTAGAATCATTTTCAGCATCATTGCCAGTAGTGAAATTTATTGGCATGTCATTTAAATCAGCCAAAGAAAATATGAGTACATTACAATGTAGTTCAATAACTTTCAAATCGTAGACGTTTACTAAAAAAATCAAGATTTAATATAATTAAAAAAAAATCTTTAATGCGATAAGTTATTGTCTATATATTGCATTTTCAAGATGATGACTGTCACCTTGACAAACTTAAAAGTCTTTCCAACTGTTACCAAAAGTATGATTCTGTAAGACTCGTAAAAATTTTAATGTCCCGTTCATTTAATGATTTTGATTTGAAACAATTATCAGAAATGAAAATGAAATTCAGCTTTCATGATAGGAAAAAAAAGTTGAAGTTATTTAAAATTATGAATCAATTTGTTGAGTTATTCAGACAATAACTGACCTGACTTTTATCAACCTACATATAAACGATTACCATCCATGAGCTATTAGGGATATTGGAATGACACCAAATTAAATGGGAACCATTACAACAACCATTAACAATAATAAACGTCAATAATGTAATATGATCATGATTGATATTTAATGAAACAAAATAAATAATTCAGAATTGTATTTATAGATAATCTCTAGTGTGTAATTGCTGGTAACCACATACATGTAAAATCTGTATAATTATTTCAAAGGGATTGAAACTTTTCCTCTTTCAGCGATACATGTGTTTTAGATCTACCAAGTGTTCACTGTTTTTATATTCTTTTTAACAGGCATCAGGGACTTTTAAAAGGAAAGCATTTCCGTTTATATAAGTTTTATTTCTTTAATCTATTGTAAAATGATAATTTTATTAATTCAATTCAGAATATAATGATTTCGCTCTATTGGATGAAAACTGTATCCTAATCTGTATTCCTTTTTTTTTCGGTCCATACGAATATGAATGACTTTACATAATTTCATTCCTTCCTTGTAATTAGTTGCCACAAACAACTCTGCAGTTTTCCTGATTATATTGGTTGATTTTAAAATCCCAAACTCCTAAATTTAGGAGTAACATCTTTGTGACGAATGAAGTTAGTTAAAGTGCGTCAAAGTCGCTGTGGTTACACAACTTTTGTTGTATAACACTGTCATACAAAAGGTTTCAGTCATACAAAGAAATATTATAAGAATGTCTTTTTTGTTTGTTTTTTATATTTTTTATTGTCTGTTTGTTTGGGGTTGTTTTTTACGAGTGGCGGCATTTGTTGATGTTGTTATTGTAAAATAGACTAGCAATTGTAGCTGATGCCATGGCCTTGTACATGATACCAATAACCACATTTTAATGAATGGATTTTGTATAACGTTTTTAATAGACATGACAATTTATTATTTGCTTTAATTTTGTAGATGTTAGGTTTTGGATTTAAGTGCATATATAAAGATTCCATGTTGTTTGTTATTTAAAAGGTTATGCCATTTCCACCCAAGAGTTGAGCATTAAGTTTCAATGCTGGCTAAAAATTTAAAGAAGTTCCGAGAACTGCACGGATGCGATGCCTGGTGGTCGCAAACGCATTATGTTAGTTTTGTCATGGCGCGGCTCATTTCATTATGTGTTTGCACTGTGATGTTAATAAAGTGTTACTTTGTGATTGTAATATTTTGTATATAGTTATAAACTGCTGGTATATCAAAATTAACTAGAAATGTGTCCATAGGACACGGATGCCCCCACACGCCACTGTTCTGTCAATCTTATGACTCTAGGTCAAATATTTTTTGGACTACATGTGCCACAAATTGAAAAATCAAAATCAACAAAGGGCCATAATTCTGTTAAATTTGGTCGCAGCAAAAATTCCTTCCTTTACTACCATCTACACATTAAGGTTGTTCATCTCTGGAAGTTTAAGCAAAATCTGCCATCTGGTTTAAGAGGAGTTGCGTTCACAAAATTTCTACATAGTATATAGTGAAAAAATCAACAAAGGGCCATAATTCTGTTAAATTTGGTCGCAGCAAAAATTCCTTCCTTTACTACCATCTACACATTAAGGTTGTTCATCCCTGGAAGTTTAAGCAAAATCTGCCATCCGGTTTAAGATGAGTTGCGTTCACAAAATTTCTACATAGTATATAGTGAAAAAATCAACAAAGGGCCATAATTATGTAAAATTTGGTCGCAGCAAAAATTCCTTCCTTTACTACCATCTACACATTAAGGTTGTTCATCCCTAGAAGTTTAAGCAAAATCTGCCATCCGGTTTTAGAGGAGTTGCGTTCACAAAATTTCTACATAGTATATAGTGAGAAAATCAACAAAGGGCCATAATTCTGTTAAATTTGGTCGCAGCAAAAATTCCTCCCTTTACTACCATCTACACATTAAGGTTGTTTATCCCTGAAAGTTTAAGCAAAATCTGCCATCCGGTTTAAGATGAGTTGCGTTCACAAAATTTCTACATAGTATATAGTGAAAAAATCAACAAAGGGCCATAATTCTGTTAAATTTGGTCGCAGCAAAAATTCCTTCCTTTACTACCATCTACACATTAAGGTTGTTCATCTCTGGAAGTTTAAGCAAAATCTGCCATCCGGTTTAAGAGGAGTTGCGTTCACAAGATTTCGGGACGTACGGACAGACAGACAGACGGACGGACGGACGGACAGACGTACGGCGTGACGGACACTCGGACGGACAAGTGCAACGCTATATGCTCCCACTCTGTGGGGGCATAAAAATACAGTTTTGTTCTGTCCTGATTATATCATGACCAAAGTATGCAATATTTCTGTTGAGTATGTGAGAGCTGCCGACAATGGCTTCATAGAAACTACATTTTTCTGGTACTTCAGTATACATTTTGATCAATAAGACTTACACAATTCGACATTGTCGGTTTACAAAATATTTAGTTTAAAATTGGCCACCTCAAGCTATTTAATACTCGGATATGTATATTGTTTTAGATGACACGAATTGGATTGACATTTACGTAAGCATAGTGATTACTTATGTTACATAAATAAACATAGGGGAGCGAAGAAAAATCTTTTGTCTAATGGTTTATTGAACAGTTAATTACATTGTATGAGCATTTAATTAACACTATTCAAGAAATGACGTTTTCATGACGTAGGTAATTTCATTGTTGGTTTGGAGAAAAAGACAAAGAGTTTAATGAAATCGAATTGTATTCATGGAAAGTTTATATAATCCCAGATGCATCAACCGATTTGTTTTCGATGCTCAGTACATAACTGTCGATATGACAATATTTCGTTATTGCTGCAAAATGCGTGGAATTTTATTCTGTGCAAAATAAGCCGTGGTTCTTAAATATGAAAGATCATCAATTGTGCGTAACATGCACGGAACGCAGTTCCGACAATATAATTAAAGAAACGTGACACAAAGTACTATCGAACGGCAGGGGTA